TTTTTGCGGTGAGGCTTGGACTGTGAATCTTCATTGATCCTCCTGACGCAGTGGCATTCTTTGTTGGCTTGAGACATTTTATAACCGTTTTATATATATATATATATATATATATATATATATATATATATATATATAAATTCTAAATTTTAAATACGATCACCATATTGAAGTGAAATAATTAACAGCTATTGGACGAGGTTGAGCAAAATATCGTGATTTATCAGTGACGAGCACAACAATTATTTGTTGCAGCGGAAGGTTGGCAGGAGTACCCGTCGGATTCGCTCAGCAAAATATCCGCTCTGCAGACTAAAGTTGAGCTGGCTGGGAATCTTAGCAATAGACAGGAACATTGTTCCTCCTGCATGCTGAAACAATCTCGTTTACGTTACTTCGCCGATGCAATACCTTTTCATCTTCGCCATAACTACACGCAAATCGTTCGCATGTTCTTCTTCAGTATAGCTTAAGGCTTTGAACACTTATTTATAAAGGCCATCATCGTCATCAATCGCACGCTTGAACATGCATGGCGAGTTGATACTCGGGGCTTTCCAGCTCCAAACCAAGTAATTATTACAGTATTTCTCTTTCCATAGCTTCCAGTTCTCGGGGATCTCGCTACTTAATTGACCTCAAATCTAAATGTTGCGGAGTCAATGATGTCTGGTGGAATAACATTGAAAATATTGATGCTTTCACGGCGAGGCACCCGAACTTGTTTTCGCTTGTAGGCATTCGTAGACGGTATACTTTGTCGACGAATATGAACTACCCTTTCGCTGCAGCATGTAGTGTTAGATGGCAGAGAACCTTAAACGAACCTCATTAATCCAGGCTTAATCCGGCTACTTGAACTCAAGATACACAAGCTGAACGCGTATATCATATCACTGTATGTATAGCACAAATTGCATAGCCGTTACAGAACATAAGCGTGCTTATAAAGAATGTTTGCATATTATATTATATTAAAATAGCATATTATAACCTTAATTAACTGCACACTAATGGCTGATAGTGTGCAATGGCTCAGCCAATCAGATTGCAGCATTTGCATTAGTGTTCAGGTAGAATTCTACAAATGAGTTTTAGTATAAATTTACTAGCGTTCTATCACGAATGCCGTTCGCTGATTCGCTACGCTACTCACTATCTATGCTGTGAGAGCAGTGAGTAGCCTAGCATTGTGCCCTTGTTAACAAAATGACGGCCGCTTCTAAGCGTTTTCGAAGTGTCTGTGAAGAGTATTCAGAGAGAGGTTTGAACGAGTAGTAGATTTTTACTAAAACAATTCGATTATTCGCTCTCGATTTCTACGCGTGATAGAACTCTCAAGCTCATAATCTAATTGTGCATTGGTCTGCATTTAGAATTTGCGGTAACCTTGTTCGATATTGAGAAAACAAACATCTACTACAGCTTGAAGGAAATCTATCAATGACATGTATGTCCCCGTTCTGTTGCGCGCGTAAATGACGCGGAATTCACACGCGGCATGCATGAATGCGCAATGCAATTCAATGGAATCACCTGCGGGAGTGTTCAACGCAAAATCATAAGTGCAATAATTAATGGACTCCTGATTCAAGTTCAGTATTTCGTACCACTCCCATTTGGACAAGGAGCTATTAAAAGTTACCATATACTGACTGTAAATCTGACGACGTGGTGCGCGCTTTATTATTAAAGCTGACTTTTGGAGTGGTCGACCAGTTGACAATTCTTTAAAGTGGTCGCGGTACGGTCGCGCGTTTACGAAACCTTTTTGATCACAGGCTTTGAATGACAATTCAAACGGGATTTGACAAGAACCTTAAAGAACAATATTTATAGAATTCAATTCCAAATTTTCCTTTGGAATTGAACGCTGGCGTTACATAGTTAGCTCGAGCAAGTTCTGAGACCAACGAGCTCACCGTAAAATATAAATTCACTTTTTACTGGGCGTTGTCCTTGGGGTCGCCGTCGTCCTTGCTTAAGTTCTCTAGTAACTACGACCGCGACGCGAGGACAACGTCGATTAAAAGTGAATTTATATTTTACCTACGAATCTCGCGATACTCTGAAGTCATTTAGCTGGTTTCTTTTTTTCAGAACTATCTCTAAAATGAATATGAAAGACAGTGTAAAATTCGAAATAGAAATTTTACAAATTATCCGTCTTGGTACACGTTTTCCAAACGACACAGAATTTGGTCATTTCACGCTGTTGTTTTGTAGAGGACGGCAAAGAAATGTACCAAGAATTATAACGCACATGCACAGCTATTGTATTGCTCATCAAACCTTTTGTGTTGTAAAGTTCCCGTTGCCGTTGAGGTCGTGGTTTTTTCTTAAAATTCTCTAATGTCCAAGTTAATACAAGTCGTCTTGGATACTGGAGGTAACTTACTCTTACGCGTCATTTCCCCAGGGGGATACGGGTGTTATCTCCCTGGCCGAAACATTTTATATCGATTAGAAGTACCACCTAAATGGTCCCAGAAGAGCAGCAACTGACAGTAACGATGAACTAACAAGAAAGCAGACTTTAGCTTGTCGTTTAGTTCGACTAAAAAGGAAACTTTAAAAGTGTGTCGATTCATCACGTCGAAATTTACGTTTCTTCCGTAAAAGTCCAGGAGTAAACGGTTCTCATATTGTCAGGAACCTAAGGGTGAACCAGCTCCTGGTATTGTGACTATTGTGACACAGTTTCAAGGATCACGATTCCTGGGAATAAACTTCTCCTGTGCCTTGATCCACCAGCCAGGCAGAACGCCTAGCTGCTTCCGTGTAATTTCTCGCCTGTACCATCGGGTGGACTCCCCCGTTGCGTCTTTTGGTGTTGACCAGGGAACCTCCTCCAACATACCTCATAATTTCTCGAAACAACTTTCTAACGTTACGCCGAAATTTTGCGAACTTGTAAAAGTAGATGAAGGGGTTGATACAAGAGCTGATACACGCAGGAGTTAGGCACCATAACATCGCCTTGAGAATCTCTCCATCATTCTGTAGGGTTGCAAAAACGAATGGAAACACTATCAACATGGGCAACCAACACAGCAGGGTTGTTATCAACACCAACCCAACCCCTCTGGTGGCTCTGTCTGTCTGGTACTGTCGACTTGGTACATTCTTCGTGGCTGGCATGTACTGATAAATAATCTGTCTAGCCTGCTTCCTTGCTTCCTTATAAATGACGCCATAAAGGATAGGAACCGCCATGATTATTATGGTGGTGTAGAGCTGAGAAATAACTTTGACGCCAAATACTTCACTCAAGGCTGAAATCCCTGCTGCAAGCGCTACCAGCCATGAAATTGAGATCAATAGTGCAACGTTTTTCTTGTTCATCCAGGTGATGTACTTGAACGGCAAATATATGGCCACAAAGCGATCGAAAGTTACAGCTAAAAGTCCATTCATCGAGGCCGTCACTAAGCTATAACCAATTAAAGAAGTGGTCAACACGAAAGGCCGGTCTTGGTACGGCTGATTGAAGCGAATAATCAACAACGGCTGGTAAACGGCACAAACCAGAAAATCAGCCACCGATAAA